TTTTGTCCCTTTCGCTGTTTAGCTTTTCATTTTCCTCCTTTATTCCCTTTCCTCTTTCTTGTTAACTCGTATTCCATTTTCCTTCTTTGCTCTGCCTCTGCTTTTTATTAGGTTTTAACTGTTTAAGTACATTGTTTTGCTTTATTTTCCAGGATGTGTGAAGCCCTTTTCCTTTTTGTCAAAGCATCACACGCTACCCAATTTTGATTGTACGGAAATTATATGACGAGTGGGCCATCTCATATGCAAGAAACACTTCCCTGTAATTCCTATAGCACGTACATGTATTACCTGGCTCATTTTCTGTTGATCTTTTTACTTTTGGTGCAAATCTTCTGTTAATCCTTACCTTAATCCCCTTTTCACTTAAGTATAAATGAGATACCAATTTACTAAGAAAAAGCCTTGTTATTCCATCACCTAACACAAAGTTCCACGGATCACATTTCACTGAAGAATCCCTTGGGGGTGGTATCTTGAGAGCAGATTTCACCTGAGGAAAAGGAAGAGGGGTTTATCAAAAGAAGAAAAGAATACGATACTATCTGTAATCTTTAATATAAAAGCCAATTGATTAATTTGAACAGATTGAATAAATTTGTTAAATTAGTTATTTATAATAAATAGGTGCTATATTTTCTAAATACCTTGCTAATCACATGTATTAGTTAGAATTACTATTTAATGAACCTTTAACATGTACAAATACAACTATTACAAAAATTATTTTAGAAAAAAATGAATAAATATAAGAGAAGAAATGAATTGTGATCTTATATTTAAAACAAATTAAATATCAAACCAATTTTTATATTAAAGATTGAAGGTAGTATTTGGTTACTTGTTTGAATGATTTTTTTTCTTCATACAAGTGTCCCTCAAATTTAGTCCTACTCATCTCCTATGAAAACTATTTGTTGGCCAGCAAAACGAAAAAATTCGTCTCTTTTCAGGGTTAATATAATCTTTAGTTTCTTAAATTTGCTCTCATTTTAGTTTTAATCTTTTAAGTTTTAAATCATAGGTTTTGGTCCTTCAAGAAGCAAAATGATTCAAGTTTTTAAATGAAAAAAAAAACTTAAAGAACTAAAACATATGATTTGAAAATTGATGGATCAAAACTAAAGTGAGGATAAATCTAAAAACCAAAGTTTGTATTAACTCCTTTTTTAAGCTACCCGGTTGATCTCTCAGTTTCATTGTTCTGTGTTGCAGTTAGGAGCCTAAAATTTTCAAGCCATGCCACTATCAAAATTCAGTAGAGAATGAAAAGCAGCATTGCCCGTTTCTTATTATTTTTATTTGCTCTGCCAATTCCTTTCTTGAGTCTATGCTCTTGCAAAAGTAGGAATATGTAACTTTACAGGATATCGAAGTCCTGACCAGAAAATCAGGGTCCGGCTCTCAATTATGAATTATATGACAGCCTTAGCATCCATATAATTTGGTGAAATTTCAAAATCACAAACCATCAACAGAGACGAGATTGAGGGCCAGATCTTGGAAATGTTGATCACAAGAAAAAGATTTTTTGATGTGAAAATGATGTTAAAGAACACAAGAACTTAAGTGATAGCAGTAATGGACCAGGCCAGTACTTTTCACCGCCTAATAACGGAAAATCTTGACAAGATGGCAACCTTGCGGGATCATTATAAAGGAAATCCACATTTGGATTTTCTGGGTCATTTTCTGTCTGATTGCAAGTACTGAAAGCGATCAAGAAGAACATGTAGGCATATGAACTAACCTTGGTGAATACTGAATATGCAGTTTTGCCTTTACACATTGGGTGAGAAGTCATAGCCAGCCCTATACGAAACAGGGCATTGATTGAAGCGACTGAAGGAAAATGGCCTAACTTGTTACGTTTGTCCAACTATGATTGAAGTACCTCTCTCCTGTGAAAACTCCTTTTAGAAAATTCATGTCAATAGGGGGAAAAAAAGCAACCAAAGTTATTTATTAGTTTGTGCTTATTCTGGTTTCGAAACTCAGTCATTGTTGATGATCTCCTTTGGTTCACGTATAAAACATCCATGGTTGATGGTTCCTTTCTTTTTTTGGGAATCCAAGGAGTTACAAGAGCACAAGTTAACTCAACTTTGACGGAGACTAGCTAAGAAGCCAGAAAGAGTAAAATTTCCTGACGTTACGTGAGAAGGAGGCACCTTTTGGGGCATGAACAGGCAAACAAGTCAAAGGCTATAACTGTTGGAATTGGGCACAGAACAAGTTAGTTATAAAGTCGAACTGACAATTAAATTGGCGGGGCCAAGACTTGAAAAGCTGAAAAGATTGGGTCATGGAAAAAATTTCCCAATAGGCTCACTGAAAGGGAAGAAAAAAGAAGGTGCGTATGCTGGAACTGAATTATTGAACCACACAAGCTACAGGCATATGTAAGAACAGCATCTTTATGTCAAAATCTTGGTATGGGTGGGAAAATCTGCTCGCGATCATTTTAGACCACTCGAGACCTCACCTCACTGCTATAGCATCAGCAATCAACTTGTCCACCTAATCACCCCCCATTTCTGAAATCTGAACTGTACCTTGGGGGGGGGGGTTAAGATAAGGGTAGGCTATTAGGTAGCGGATAAAATACCTTTTTTTGGCACAATGAAAGTTCCACGATGCGAAGATTTAGGAATATTTGAATAGAAAGTAAACTATAATTTTAAAAATAATTTTACAAAGTAAATATATATTTTTAAAAAATACTTTTGATTATAAAAAATTGTTTTTAAAAAACACTTCTGATTATATCCAAATATCTTCCGAGTCAAAGAAAAGTAGAAAAAAGTAACTGGGAGGGAAGATAAACCCATAATATTGTGAGAAAATGAAATAAATCCAGATTTCCCCCCCCCCCTCACATATCGGAGGAGGCCCTCCAGGCCTCTAGCGGGCAAGTTCATTCCTGGTCCTTGGAGGTTCTCAGGTTCCAAATTCTTACGTGGGGCCTGTCATGGTTCAGGCCTATCTAGAGGGAATTTACGTCTAGGCAGAGATGTTAAGCCTGATTTTTTCATTTCACAATATGAAAATTTGACTGCAAGAGAAGAAAATTTTGGGAGATTCAAAATTTAAGGTATGGCCCAAAATAAGGCCTCTAATGGAGTATATCTGGATTGAAAGGGAGCAGGCGCAATCCATCTCAACCAGACAATTATTGCAAATCTTTGTGGTCCTTGACCGCAGAGTAATCTTTTTCTTTTTTTTGGGTTTGGGTGGGGTGGGGGGTTCACTGAATAGGCTTGTCAGTGGGTCTCTTTGGGCCTGCTCCCGGGAATTAATCCAAAGCAACCAGAAAAAGAGGAAAAACAAGGAGAAAGAGCCATAAAAGTCCAAGCATGCAACCTTGTCTGTATGCATTCAAAGTTCAAACCTCAAAGGGAAGCGTAAGCAAAGAGACAATTGACAGCGAGTTTATGTGAAAGTGAAACATACACTCTATCTTTTTATGCCTTTGCTTTTTTTTTTTTTACCCTTTTTCCTTTTCCTCTGCCATTGTTGGACATGCAGAATGTTTCGTAATGGTAAGAGAAATAGCCAAGGTTGTCCCAAATTGTCAGAGCATGATTGCTTGCTTGCTAAAGAAGGCCTATATTCCAGAATAGAAGTCAGTAAGACCGAGGCTGCGTGCCTTCTCTGTCACTCTTCCTTTCAATGTACAGGTGGTCTCCGACAAGGCACCGGCTTTTTTATTTTGTTCTCTTGTTAGGTCAAAGTACATTCTTCCCTTGTGTGTTTCCCCCCCTCTGCTTTTTCATTTGTCAAAGATCCGTTTTTTTGCTGGAATGTTATTTCCCTTCTGAACATGAAACCAATGCATAATAATGCGTTAAGTAACCGGCTAAACATCAAAATATATTTGTCACAAAATTGGTGCTTCTCATTTTTATCAAAGGGGTTTCTAGGGGAGTGAACATGTTTGCGCTAAAAACCATGTGACAGATCAGATATTCCAATGGACCCAACATCCAAAGGCAAAAACCTGATAAGATGGGGAGACCAAAATGTTGCTTGAATCCTCTTGTTTTCGCGGACCGGGTCTGCTGTATGAAGAATTCGACCCTCACGCTTGAAAAAATGAAGGAGAGGCAAAGGCAGTTGTGTCCATTCGGCTACAAGGAACCAACAAATTAACTAAAAATAATAATATATATTTCCTTCATAGTCAATTTTAATGCTTTTTTTTTTTATTAATAACAACTTTTAAATCCTATGTCATGGGACTGCTGGAAATGTGGAACAGTCGAAGTCCAACTGTTTTCCCGTCGGATATCCTTTTGTTGTTTCTGGAGAGGGGTACTGGGTTTGTTTCGGACAACAAGGTGTGGGCTGTGTGTGAATTTTTCATCTGGGTCTGAGCATTGGACTGTGTTCGGTGCAGATAATGAAAACATACATAAGTCTTTCAGCCCATCTCTGTTTCCATGTCAGCCTGTTTCGTGGCTTAGTTGTCCTTTTTTTTTTTTTTAATTTATGAAATTCCATTCTAAAATCTCATTTGAGGACAGCAATTGCGATTAGTTCATGGCGCAGTTCCTGATCCACAACCACAAGTTAAAAAGTGACAGATTATTTTTCCTTATAAAAATTTTTGTAATTTTTTTTATCAATATTTAAAATTTTAATTATGACCTTATCTAATATAGAGCGCGTGTAATCAGCTACATTCATCAGCATTATTTCTTTAAGCTACTATTTAGTTTCATACTGTCATTATCATCATTGAGGTTAGCTGCGAATTGAATTTTAAATTATCCAATTCTCAGGAGCGGCTGCCCGAGGAGCATAGAATCCGGCGAGTTTTTTTTTAGGTACTTGGAGGCAACAAGGAGAAAGAAATTGACACCAGATTTTCAGGGGCTGGTAATTGTTCCCGTAATTCTGGTAGAGTTCCCGCCTGTCCACGTGGACATCTCCTTTTTACATTTCTACTTCTATGGCCAACCACGTGGATATCTCTTTGTTCTTATTTATATGTGGAGTTCGTTTTCCGGACCCTCCCTTTCCCTCCTTTTCTCTCTCCTTCCTTAGATTCCCCGATATTCTACCCCTTCCTCTGCCTCCTGCTGATGGCGGAAACTTCCTCTCTTTGCTTCTCAAGATTCTCTCCTGTTCCTTCTGTTTCTCGTTCGAAGAAATCGAGACCCTCGTCCTCTCTGTTTGCATTCACCTCTTATCAGTTCTGGGCTTCACGTCCTCGGCCCTCGCGTCGTCCCTTCCACTTCGCCACAAAAGCCACCGATTCCGGCAATGTTTTCGGTGATGATTCCTTCGGATTTTTCCCTTGGTCCGAAGATGGCGGTACGTTTATTTTTCTTTTTTCTATCTATGAATTTTTAATGCTAAAATCAGCTTAATTTATGCTTCTGAATTCAACCGTAGACTTTATAACTGCAAGGCATGCAGTTGTCGAAGACGATTCCTTCATTGTACATTTGTTCTGCCTTTGTAATTTCTTTGCGGCACTACGAATTGCTTTCTAATGTGTTATTGTGATGTAATTTTGGCATCAAGCGAGGGGTACCTTTTTCTGGGTCACCGATCAATCAAGTGTCACTTGATATTTTTGAAACTCATTTTAGGATAATGCGCTGCCCAAGATTTATTAAGATGGTTTTAGCCAAGTAACTAATCTTTACGGTGAATATTGATGTTTTATGAACTTTTATGTTACATTGTGCCTGCTATGTATTCACGAAGACCTTATCAAGTCCATAATAAACATTTCCAGAAACTTAAAGATTACTATGTAGCTAAGATTTTGGAATTTGATGAATTAAAATAATTCAAAGTAAAATTTGTGTTAAGATCACTGATTTTTCTCAATTCAGATTCACTTCATTTAGAATTAAGTTTAAAAAATGCTCAAACCTTTCATGTATAAGCATATCCTTTGAATTTCTTAGTGATATTATCTGAATTAACTCCAATGGTGTTTGTCATATCAGAAATTCAATGGATTCCTGAGGAGAGAGTGACCTTATTCACTGCTGATGGGCTGATTCAGATTGGAGGCTCCGTGGTTCCTCGTCGTGTTAGGGCTTCAGATGTATGCCTTTTACTTTGCAATTTTTAGCCTTTACTTTTGAGCTCAAGGACAATAATAAGAACATGCAGCGAGCCCACTTATACCAGTCATAAACTCATAATTACCAACTCAGACATTCCTCTGTTTGTATTGAAATTGTTGGCATGTTGTACTGCTGCTCTATTTCAAGAGCTAATATGTGCTTTAAAAGGGTAAGTCATTAGGTCAAGATTCCCTAGGATCTGTGTCATCATGATTATGAGGTTTTTCTACAATATACATTGCAAGAATTCACCTGCCTTTTGTAGTTTCTCCTTCTGATATATCGCATGTGTTAACAATAAGTTTGATGCTCTCTCTGTTATTAAAATATGTGTCTTGGTTTGTCACGTGTAATACTTGGCATCATTGGTTCATCCTTTCAAGGTGAAGACTCGATCTGCTTGTCTAGAGCTTTCTCAACTTTATACCATATTCTCTTGTTTACACTCCATCTCACAATCTAATATTCTTTTAGATAGGCCAATGACTAAGCAGATGTCTGTGCTTGACAGAAGAAACAAAGGAAAACTGCCCAGAGATTTCAACGATTCCAAGAGAGTGACTACATGGATCCTAATCAAAGTCTTTGTCTAGGTGCTCTCTTTGATATTGCAGCGACTAATGTAAGTATTCTTCCTTTTGAATTCATATCTTTTGAGATTATTTTGTTTTGCCAAATCTCTTACCATCTGAATTCTCCTTCTAGGGGCTTGATATGGGCAGAAGACTCTGTATTTTTGGTTTCTGCCGTTCCATTGAGATGCTGAGTGATGTTGTGGAAGACACAGTCTTGGAGCATGGTGGGGAGGTATGTCGTAGCACCATGCCTTTGTATTTTTGTTCACTATTAACCTACCGTCCCACGTTTTCCTTCTCTTCATGACTTAAAAAAATTTGGTGCCGAAGTTATTCTTAATATTTAATCTCTAGATGTTCTACTCACAAATGCATCACCGACATGTCAATTTTCAGCATATCTTTAATGCCCATGATTATAGAAGTTTGGAGTGAGAACCATTTGTCTGCCAACGTTTAATTATTTATTAGAACTCGAGTGGAGGTTTATTTATGGAAATTGTATTCTTCCCTTCTGACATTGGTTGTATGATTTATCATGGGGTGGCTGATAATTTCCCAGGTGTCTGTATGCCTAGAAATTCCTGAGATTGATGGCAGTTAATTCAGATTCTGCAGATTTTTCCCTAATCAATTTTTCTTATGTGTTGTTGTGCCAGCCTAAATTCTCTGAATCTGGAGTCTGGGATATTGATTCACTTTTCAATTGACAGGTTGTTGCTGCAGAGAAGGCAAGCAAAGGTGGTTTGAATGAGAAGCTAACCATGACTGTTGCAGTGCCACTGTTATGGGGGGTGCCTCCAGCTTCAGAGACACTTCACCTTGCAGTTAAAAGTGGCGGAGGGATTGTAGAGAAGGTCTATTGGCAATGGGATTTCCTATAAATAAATGCTAGAGGTCTCCTGATCATTCTTTGTGCTCTGTACATAAATTTGTATCCCGCCATTCCGAGTTTCGGCTTGATGGTGAGAGCATTTTAGTTTCACCCGTCAAGTCGCGGGTTTGAAACGGCACTCTGTGGAACCAAAATTTGTATCTCGTGTATATCAATGTACAAAACTGAAATTTATCTATTGGACACTGGTTTCATGCTAATTAATACTACCTCCGGTCCTAACTATAAGAGCTAGTTAACTAATTTGAGGAGATTAAGGGAATAAGCTAAATTAGTTATTTATAATAAATATGTGTTGTCTTTCTTAAAATATCCTTATTTATCAAGTATATTGGCTAGAACTACTAATATTAGAAGGTTTATCTTGAAAAAAATGTATAAATATGAAAGACAAAGTGAATCGGAGTCTTATATTAAGAACCAAAATAAAAAGTCAAACGAGATCTTATATTAAAGGCGGGAGGTAGTATCTATTTTTTATTTTTTTCCCCCTTGCCTGTACTGCTAATATCTAATTGAAATTGTTTGTCTGCTAAGCCCGATTCTTCTAGGCGCAATAGGCTGCTCTCAGGCGCAATCCTTCTTCCCAGATCCGGGGACACAGCCTTAGAACTTGAATGAAATGTATAGTTAAAAAATAATGGGTATCAAATACCTTCTAAATTTAACTTTATGATTCTTGAAGAAGATAACTCGAATGGACAAGATAAGATAGGCAATTATGATTCCCTGAGTTCTTCTTTTTCCTTCCTTTTCTTAACTGTTGCAGGGTCATTTTGAGGGGGAGAGAGGATCATGATTTACCACACAAAGAAAGAAAGGACTATCAAGTAGGGAAATGTACGCTGCTTTATGGGCCTTAAGCCCCCTATGTTACCAAAAGAAATAGTCAAATGCAAGCTGGCCCTAAAAAAGGATTAGATGTGTGAAATTTCAAAGTCGGGTTCTTCGGAAGGGACAGGAAGAGACGAGCGGGAAGGGGATGGTGTTTTGGATAGTGGGTACCGTGGATCGACGGGTTGTTGTTGTATGAGGAGGATAATGATGGCAGCTCAATATTGGGAACGCGCTAGTTTTAATTTCTGGGATAGCCACCCCTCCTGAGGCTTCCAAGTCTTACGGCCTTCCCTTCACTTGCCGACTTCATGTCTGATGTGGAAGGTGTTCGGTTCTCCTTCACCCAACACCTATCGACTCTCCCTTCCACTCTCATTCTAGTACCTGCCCTTTCCTATATCCACTCTTATTCTTGTATGATTTCCCTATCCAGATATAAGATTTTATGTGAAACACCTGACACACCTTCAGTGTTCAATCATCATCCCTAATTATTGTCTCTTCCTTTTCCTCGTGCCAAAACCAAGTTTTCTTTCCACTATCCTTTTACGTAAGAGACGGACATTTTTAAATCTAATGCAAGATTAAACGGATCTTATGTTTATGTAAATGCCCAAAAAGCTTGGCCACTGATTGGCCCCGTAAAATTTCAATGAGCGGTATCTTCTCTCGCTTATGCGAATTTGTAGATTTTTGTCAAATACTTCCATTTTTTCCCGTTATCAGCCTTTTTGGGCCAATCACCATAAGGGCTTAATTTCAAAGATTGGACTTTGAAGCTTGCTTAAGAGAAAACAGCCAGCCAATCAGCAATAAATGTATGTTGGAAATTTCATTTGAATATTTGATGAGGGGTATAGTTTTCCGTTGCACACTATCATGATGCGAAAGATCACGTATTCCTGTGAGACTTAGCACTTACATGCGCTATATTAATTTTGCATCAGCTGCATTATGCTGCAATAAACATCAGCGTTATCTGTTTCCATAACTGAATTTGAATGTTAACTCTTTCACACGCACACAAACACACACATTCATGCCCCTGCTTTCTTGCAAGTCCCAAAGTCCTATCCCCGGCGTCACAAAAATTTGTTGATCAAGTCATGCAGATAAAATGATAAATGCGTCTGACATTGACGATCAACTTTTTTTTTTTTTTTGGCCGCCGGGGGTGGGGAGTGTTTAAAGTGGGATTTCAGCAGGCTATGATGCATTTACAGGCTGCAGCGTAGCTTAATTATGTAGATCTAATCATGTCTTTGCAGTAAACTACGCCATATTTGACCGATCTTCTAGTTTTGGCCTTGCCGCCAATTATGGGATTCCTTAAACTGCCATCATTGCGCAAACGAGTTCGCAAGGATATGTCATCTCTTATCATCTAGTTTTGTACCTTTTTGTTATTTGTTAAATATATGGTCTCGTTTATACATAGTTTCTGCAGAAATGCACGTGAGAACAAAACAAGCTCTATAAAAATCCCCAACTCTGCTTATCATCTGGAAAAAAAGAAAATGCATTTGTAACAGATAAAAACGGAAAACTTGTTGACTAATATATGTAAATAATTTGAAACATTAAAAATAGTGCATGCCTGCTGTTAGCCTTTATTTTAGTTGTGGTGGATAAGGACCACTCCGGTTTTCGGGGCTTCTTTTTCTCCCTTCAATAATCTCTCTGGGAACATCTTTATGGTCGCGCACATCATTTCCCAGAAAGAGAAGCACGAGGAAAGGGAAACTTCCCCATGTACTATCAAAATGATTGGCTCAAACTTGATCCCAAATCAAAGTCTTTTTAGTTTACCCCTTCCAAATCTTTGATTTCATCCACAGTCAGCATCAGTAGTACACAATCCTCTCCCCTGTCTTCTTCTCATCGGAAAACAAATTGCTGCAACTATCTGCGCTTGCTAATTGTTTAATCTCATCCATCCCATAATCTAATGAACTCTCTTCCCACAATCCATTGGTGAGATAATAATTATGCGCGCCACCAACCTGTTGGATTAGAGTCCCATCTCTTCCGTACACAAACTCTGCTTCTTTGATATGAGTGGCCTGGTTGTTGCAGCTCCCATCAGAAGAGCTACAACTAGCAGCCTCACCACCAACCATGGATACTGGCTGGCTGTGAATGGGTGCCATGAAAGTATTATCCTGGGGTTGAAAATTGAAGTTAGAAGCAGAAGGGTTGCCTCTCAAAAGATTGGAAGAGCCTGTGAAAGACACGTTAGCATGGTGGTGGTGGTGAGAGTCTGAGAATGACAACAGCGAAGCTGGTACGGAATTTTGAAGAATGGTTAAAAGGGTAGATTGGTTATGACGAGGCTTATTCCCCTGAACTGAAGGATTCATAAGCATCATTTTCTTCTTAAGTTTGGTGTTCCAGTAATTCTTGATATCGTTGTCGGTCCTCCCAGGTAAATGAGCTGCTATTACCGACCACCTGCGTTTTGTCCACTGTCAAATACTCATAAATTATCTAAAAATGTCAGCTTGCATCCCCCGAAAAATGAAACAGACTTTAACTTCCTTTCAATTTTATGATCTTCCTATTTCTACTGGTTCAAAAGGGAAATTAAAAAGTTAAGAATATGAACATATATACCTGCTTCCAAAGCTAGCGAAGAGGCTGCATATGATTCTATCTTCATCCTCAGAGAACTGGCCGTGTTTAATGTTGGGTCTGAGATAGTTAAGCCATCTTAATCTGCAACTCTTCCCACATCTTTTCAAACCTGTCCCAGAAAATTACCATTCACGGAAATAACAAAATAAGATCACAGAATTCTGATGAGTTGCAACTAGCAAAAAGAAAATACGTACCAGCTTTCTGCGGGAGAGCAATCCAGTTACCACCAGTCCCATGTTTCTCCATATACTCCTTTAGCTTCGCATCTTCTTCAGGAGACCATGGCCCTTTCTTAACATTTGCCTTGTCGCAACAAGGAGCTCTGCCCATCTTCCTGGTTCTCTGTCTCTCTTCCAAACTCTCTTATAATTAGACGAAGATGTGTGTATTTAAGCTCTGGTAACTTGGAAGGGAATAGAGAAGACTTTAAATAGCACAGCACTCTAGAGTAGGGCCTTTTTTCACTTAAATTTCTAAAATCTAAAGCCATAGGCCATACTATTATTATTGATAATCCTGCAGAGGATTCTGTCACCGCAGGAGGGAGCCTTTTCGTAACACAATTTAGATAATCCCAATTCTCTTATAATACTCCCTCCGTTCCTTATTATAAGAGACAAATAACCGAAGTACGTTGATCAAAAAACAGTTAAAATTAGTTGAGAACAATAATGTGTAAAAAGTATAATTTTTTCCAAAAATGCCCTCATTAATAAGGAGAGAGAGCATGAAAGAGAACAATTAAATTATTAAAAGAAAGAGAAGTGGAGGGAGAGAGAGTGTGAGTTGGAGATAATAAATATGGGTAAAATAGTAAATCAACATAAAAAAGTAGAGACAACTTGTAAGTGTCTCTTATATATAGGAACATGCTATAAGCATCAAATGTCTCTTATTAATAAGGAACGGAGGGGGAGTAAGTACCAATATGCCACTGAAACGAAGCTCTACGGGTGTAGACGTATCAGTATTGCAAGCCGCGAGCAGCCATGTCACCAGTCATTGTAAGAAGAGAGGATGTAAATGACTTGTGACTAACGTCGTGTCTTGTGTATAACTAGAATTTTCTTCATCATTATTTTTATTATCTATTAACATCACATTGATGTAAAATCAAATTATAAAGGGAAACTAGCAAATAAAACAACTCCAATATATGAAATTATGATTTGGGACTATAATTGAAAAATGGCAAATAAAAACCCAGTCCCATATTACAAATATGAAATCTTGGTGAAATGTTTAAAATGCCTCTTAGCTAAGTTGTGATTTGGTATACTGAAATTGTTATTCATTAAAGTGAACTTGTTATTTCTATAATCAATTTGTCACTTGGTATACCCTCAACCAAGTTGTGTTTGATCTACTGAAATTGTCATTCGCAAACTGAATTTATCATTTCTCATAATAAAACTTGTCATATGGTTTGAGAGACAATTCAGACATTTTCAAGATTTCATATTGCAAATATAGGTCTAGATCTTTATTTGTCATTTTCCAATTGAGGATCCAAATACACAATTTCACATATGAGAGTCTTTATTTGTCATTTTCTCAGTTATAGGTTGTGTATACTTTTTACTGAAATAATATTTTTTTTTAACAAAATTGAAGGTTTTTTTTTTAACACGAGTCCTGTAAATTTTTCAAGTTATGTGTTTCTTTTAAAATTTAAATAGTTTCTAAAAGGTTAGAGTAATTCATAAAACAATTAAATTAATCTTCGATATCATGAGCATAATCGCATAAGTATTACTACCTCTAATCCTTAATATAAGATCCCCGTTTACTTTTATATTAGTCCTAAATATAAGACCATAATTTATTTGTCTCTCATATTTACTCAATTTTTTTCGAGATAGTCCTTCTAGTAATTATAGTTTTA